TAGGCTTCATCCCGGGGATGCAAGGCTCGTCCAACATACTCAAGTCCATAAATGTAATTCACCACTAAACAGAACCAAAGACAAAACCACGATTATCTTAACAGACGCAGAGAAGGCCTTCAACAAAATTTAACAGTGCTTTATGCTAAAAACTCTCAATAAACTAGGTATCGACGGAACATATCTCAACATAATAAAAGCTATTTATGAGAAACTCACAGCCAACATCATATTGAATGGGCAAAAACTGGAAGCATTCCCTTTGAAATCTGGCATTAGACAAGGATGCCATCTGTCACCACTCCTATTCAATATAGTATTGAAAGTTCTAGCCAGAGCAATCAGGCAAGAAAAAGAAATAAAGTGTATTCAATTAGGAAAGGAGGAAGTCAAATTGTCTCTATTTGCAGACAACATGATTGTATATTTAGAAGACCCTATCATCTCAGCCCAAAATCTCCTGAAACTGATAAGCAACTTCAGCAAAATCTCAGGATACAAAATCAACGTGCAAACGCCACAAGCATTCCTATAAACTAATAACAGAATTAAAGAGAGCCAAATCAAGAATAAACTGTCATTCACAATTACTACGAAGAGAAGAAAATATCTAGGAATACAACTAACAAAGGATGTAAAGGTCCTCTTCAAGGAGAACTACAGACCAATGCTCAACGAAATAAGAAAAGACACAAACAGATGGGGAAACATTCCATGCTCATGGTTATGAAGAATCGATATTGTGAAAATGGTCACACTGCCCAAAGTAATTTATAGATTCAACGCTATCCCCATCAGGCTACCAATGACCTTCTTCACAGAAATGGAAAAAAAACACAAAAAACAAAAAAAACATGTTAAACTTCACATGGAACCAAAAGAGAGCCTGCATACCCAAGTAAATTCTAAGTAAAAAGAACAAAGCTAGAGGCATCATGCTACCTGACTTCAAACTATACTACAAGGCTACAGTAATCAAAACAGCATGGTACTGGTACCAAAACAGAGATATAGACCAATGCAACAGAACAGAGGCCTTGGAGAGAATGCCACACATCTACAACCATCTGATCTTTGACAAATCTCACAAAAACAAGCAATGGGGAAAGGATTCCCTGTTTAATAAATGGTGTTGGGAAAAGTGGCTAGCCATGTGCAGAAAGCAGAAACTGGACCCCTTCCTGACACCTTACACTAAAATTAACTCCAGATGGATTAAAGACTTAAATAGAAGACCTAACACTATAAAAACCTTAGAAGAAAACCTAGGCAAAACCATTCAGGACATAGGCATAGGAAGGGACTTCATGAATAAAACACCAAAAGCATTGGCAACAAAAGCCAAAATAGACAGATGGGATCTAATTAAACTCCAGAGCTTCCGTACCGCAAAATAAACAATCCTTAGAGTGAACTGGCAACCAACAGAATGGGAAAAAAGTTTTGCAATCTACCTATCTGAAAAGGACTTATATCCAAAATCTACAAAGAACTAAAACAGATTTACAAGAAAAAAACAAACCCATTCAAAAGTGGGCAAAGGATATAAACAGACACTTTACAAAAGAAGACAAAGAAGACATATATGAGGCCAACAAACACGTGAAAAAATGCTCATCATCACTGGTCATTAGAGAAATGCAAATCAAAACTACATTGAGTTACCATCTCATGCCAGTTAGAATGGCGATCATTAAAAAATCTGGAGACAACAGATGCTGGAGAGGATGTGGAAAAATAGGAACACTTTTGCACTGTTGATGGGAGTGTAAATTAGTTCAATCATTGTGGAAGACAGTGTGGTGATTCCTCAATGACCTAGAAATAGAAATTCCATTTGACCCGGCAATCTAATTACTGGGTATATATCCAAAGGATTATAAATCATTCTATTATAAGGACACATGCACACGTATGTTCATTGTGGCACTGTTTACAATAGCAAAGACTTGGAGCCAACACAAATGCCCATCAATGATAGAATGGACAGGGAAACTGTGGCACATATACACCATGTAATACTATGCAGCCACAAAAATGATGAGTTTGTGTACTTTGTAGGGACATGGATGAACCTGGAAACCATCATTCTCAGCAAACTGACACAAGAACAGAAAATCAAACACCACATGTTCTTACTCATAGGTGGGTGTTGAACACTGAGAACATATGGACACAGGGAAGGGAGAATCACACAGTGAGGTCTGTGAGGGGGACTAGGGGAGGTACAGTGGGGGGCAGGGAGTTGGGGAGGGATAACATGGGGAGAAATGTCAGATATAGGTGATGGGGAGGAAGGCAGCAAACCACATTGCCATGTATGTACCTATGCACCAATCCTGCATGTTCTTTACATGTGTATATATATATGTATATATATATATAGAGAGAGAGAGAGAGAGAGAGTTTTCTAAATCTCATAGTGCTTCAGATATGACATAAACCCATTGTGTACAGGTGTCAGCTAGCCCTCGTCTTATCACCTTGTAGTAACGGGGTCTTAAGGAATTCATGCAAGAAAATGACAATACTCTGACTACCCTATTGCTATGAGTAATACACTGCTTTTTGTCTTTGTTCTCTTTGTCCATGAAACTGTGCAGGCTCTTCAGCATTCTTGGTATCTTTTTTCCCCAGTCTCTGTCCTTTTGTTTTATGGATACACTCTCTTCTCTTTATTTAGTTTCCTCCTCAAGTTTCTGCCTCCTTAAGTTGATTTTTTCAGTCGAAATTTCCCACTTGTCTGGGAAAAAAGAATTCAATTAAATAATAAGTGGCAACAAACTAAAGTTAGAGGAATAAAAAGTGTGAATTCAGAAACAATTGCGGCTTGTACATAGTGTAGAGGGCCCATGCAAATCTGTAGAGTAGCTGGGTTTTCAATATCATTCCTAGCACAGACATCATTTTAAAGACCTATTGGGTGTTAGAGCCTAAGAGGATTGCTGGGCTGGTGCCTTGTTTATTTGACAGTGTTTACTTTTTCATTTCTTAGTGCTCACTGCTGAAAATATTCCTTCCTTAGTAGACCTATGTCTGTCTTCCCTCCACTCCACTTCCCAAGACCTCAAACTTTCAACAATAAAATCAGTTTACACATATTTGGAAAAACATGGCTAGTGATAAATGATCAGGAATTTTTACTTGTTTGTTACCTCTTATTTCAGAGAGTTCCAGAGGGATGAACAGTAGCCCTCTGCAATAAGAGTCCCGAGAATCAGTGGGAACCTGCTAAAATTCAGTTTTCCAGACCATACACACACTCCCTACCACAAGGATTCTGATTCATTGTGGCTGATGTGGGTCCCAGGTGTTTTCCATTTTTAATGAGTTTTTTTTTTTGGGCGATTTTGCCACTGTTGGTTTGCAGAACACTCCATGAGAAATTCTGCTCCAAAAACTGCCTCCTGACTTGGTATCATGCACATTTGTGCAGTTTAATAAAGACAGCTCAACCCAAGTACATAGATTAGTCACTGACAAATGTTAGTTGATGACAGTGATTTGCTCTGGTGTACAGCTCAACTGTTAGGAGTGTTTTGAATGTTATTTTTTGGCCCATGAGACTGAAAGACTCATATTAATATGAAACAACTGCTGATTAGCTTTAGCAATTCTGGATATATTCGGAACAATTTCTTCTGATCTGTGGCATAATACTATGTGCACATTATTAGCAAGGACCATATATAGAAAGACAAGTAGAATTTTAAAAATGAAAACTATAGTTTATAAATACTTCTGGTAAAATACAACTATCCCAAAGGTCTTCTATTTGAAGAAGTTAAGCAGTATGAACATTTTTTATATAAAGACGTAGGGGGGAATTTTTGAAAAGTAAAAATGATTGTAATCATTGCTGTTGAGATCATAAGATATATAATAGGATGTTATTGGAAAATCATCTTATATCAGTGTGGTGGGAGCACTGAGGGAAAGTGTGTAACATACTAGCATTGATGGTTCTGCAGGATTCCAATTTATACTCTAACTTCCTAACAACAACACTTATGGAAAAATTCTGTCTTCATTTTCTCTTATTTTTTCCCAAATGAAATCAAAGTAAGTCACCCAAGTAACAGGAGCATCACACTACAGCTCTTTTCTTTGAGTTCAGACCAGCACACTTCATTTTTATCAGGTTTGATTGAGAGTTACACACTTAAATTTAGTCTTAGTGCACTTCCAGTAAATCTCATGAGGAAAACACCAGCATGCGGCTACAGTGCTTTCTAGATAAGGATACGACAGTTTAGAATGCCAGGGACTAGGAGAATATTGGACATATTTCAGTCTGTATATCATACTGAATTGTTGTGGGTTTACTTGGGACAATTGTTGTTACATTAAACAATGTAACCAACATTTCAACATTCACACATCTTCAGTGTTAGCAGGTGATTTTTATTAATAAACCACCTCTTAAAAACAGCAACGCATTTCAGCACTGTTTACAATAGCAAAGACCTGGAACCAACCCAGATGCCCACTGATGATAGGCTTGACAAGGAAAATGTGGCACATATACACCATGGAATACTATGCAGCCATAAAAAACGATGAGTTCATGTCCTTTGCAGGGACATTGGTAAGTTTGGAAACCATCATTCTCAGCAAAGTGACACAAGAACAGAAAATCAAACACCGCATGTTCTCACTCATAGGCGGATGCTGAACAATAAGAAAACATGGACACAGGGAGTGAAGCATCACATACTGGGGTCTGTTGGGGGGGCTAGGGGAGAGACAGTGGTGGGGGAGGTTGGGGTGAGATAACATGGGAAGAAATGCCAGATATAGGTGATCGGGAGATGGAGGCAGCAAAACACATTCACATGTATGTACCTATGCAACAATCCTACATGATCTGCACATGTACCCCAGAACCTAAAGTACAATTAAAAAAACAAAAAGAAAACAGCAACACAAATTTCAGTCAGAATTTTTCATGGTGTTTTATCTTTCTCAGAACTTATCTTGAAAAAGGTGATGATACTTACAGTTGACAACAACTTTCACTTTCTTCACATCTGGGAATGACACATCATTTTCCGCACTGCATTCATATTCCCCAGCCTGGTCCCTTGTAATTCCATAAATGTCCAAATACTGACCATTTTCAAATGGTTTTGCTATAAAAAAGAATACAGCATGTTTAATTGTAGCTGCCTGAGGCTTCCTTCAAGTAAAACAACAATTTCATGACTTCCTACAAGATATTGCTGACAAAACAATTCCAAATGAAACTGGGGAATTATTAAACCTTTTGTTCTTCTATGTTCAGAGGAAAACTCAGAGAAAAAAGCAGAAACAGAACAAGGTATACTATAACAACTATTTCTCCAGAACAGGATATACATGTGTTCTTTTTAATTGATTGTGGTCTCCTAACCTCTTCACACATCAAATAGACTCTGCACATTTCTGTAATTGAGTTCAACAACCTCTGAGCAGTGTAGATGAAATTCACTAATATGACTTGGTACATATTGACTTTTCTACCATGTGAGCTAGCAACCTGACACTTAACCTAACTAAATGTTACCTTTCTTTTGGGGGAAATCTCCTACCCTTATTGAACCATTCAAGTCTGATGCCTTGAAAAAAGTATAGAGATACATTTAACCATTGCTATATTTCAGTTTCCAAAATTATTAATGCTGCCAAGAAAGATACAGTGTACACACTATACATAACTCATCCAATAAATCTCTGAAAAAATTATTATGACTCTCAAACTAAGGGTTAAGTGTTCATAAAAGCAAACCAAATTATATTTATTTGTTAATGTTCCTGGGAAAACATTTTATTTAACCAAAAATAGCAACAGATTAGAAACATAAAGATGTAGCAACAGATGAAAGACTACCCCCAAATGAATGAGATTTGATAAAATAAAGGTGTCTTCCTTTAATAATGGAAGTTTTATTTATTTGAAAGTATTGAGTCGTTGAGCAGGATCCTAATTATCAGAAGTATGGCAAAGGTAGAATAAGCCTGTGTGAATTGCAAGAGAGGACACCCTTCTACCTCCGTGCACAGGTCTTGAAAAAATCACATTTAAGTGCATATCAAAGGGATATCTTTTCCAAAGTCAACATTATTTTTGTCTTTCCCTTTCTATCTTGCCGAAATCATTGCAATGATGTAGGAGTTGGAGAACTAGTAAGAAGATTCCATTTTAATGAATCAAACAAAATAAATTTTGGTTATTTGGCCACCCAAATGTAAAGTCCATTCCAATTATTCTCCCCCAATATTCCCCCATGGGCTTCTGTGTCTGGGCCTTTATTAACTGTGGCATGGTCTGCCCTCCACGTAACTATGAGTTTGCTCACTGAAACCTTCAGTGTTTAGAATATGTATCATTAAGTCATTTCTCCATTTATCTATATGATCCTAGTTTTCTAGTTGGCTCTTTTTGTCTTATTTTCACTATTGCAATGACAATAATCTAGGCTTAAATGTGTCTGTCAAACTTACCGAACTTAAAAAAAAAACACTTCGCATATGAGAATTTTTAAAATATAACTTAAATTATAAAGTAAGGATGGTATTAAATATAAATTAAAGTATGAGGAACATTCAGTTGGGCAATGCAAAATGAAGTCAATCACAAGTAAAAAGTTGTATTATTGTGAAATTTTGTAAAAACAAATTTATTAGGGTCTAAATTATTCTTAAAACAGTACTTGAATATTTCATTTTTTAATTAAAATTTTAATAAATTATACCCCCAAAATTCATGCCTTTGACAACAGGCACACATTGTAACCTGCTTGAATAAACCACTGTTATTTACTAAATGACACCCGCAACCCCAATTAACCTGCTTGAATAAGCCACTGTTATTTACTCTTTAAGGAAAAAATTAAATATGGTGCTATAAGTGTGTGTTATTGTTTGCGCTGTTAAACATTGCACAAACATAAAAATAGCTTTTAAATTATTAAAGGATAAAAGTAAAAGCATTAGATTTGTATGTTTACCAGGAATCAAGAGAAACAAAAGTTTTAAAACTTAAAGAAGTACTTTTCTTTTCTCCCCTAGCCTAAAGGGCTAAATGGCAGACTCTGAAAGATTGAGAGTAACTGCAGGAAGCTGTATGACACAATACCACCAATATCAGGACTACTAGTACATCAGATAATTCTAGAGCGCACCCTTCACATCTACTGAATATTTGTCCCTGGAGTTCACTGCACATTCAAATATTAAGAGATTCTTCTTCAACCCCACACACCAGCGGTCCATATTTACAACTACCAGAATACTCGTAATGTTATGTAATGCATAACCCAGTTGCTATAGAGCCAGTGAATGGATTATGCTGCCAACACTCTCAATAACACTAGGGTAAGGATATATAGGATAAACAAAGCATAACGCATGGTCAGCATCTTATTTTTTCCCCCATTGGATTCCTGGAACTTTAAGTAATTTATTACTTCCATTCACCATGAATCAGGACTCCCAAAAGATGTGCATTAAGCATTCTATTGTTTTTATACAAATAACTTTTTTTTATTGCATTTTAGGTTTTGAGGTACATGTGAAGAACATGCAAGATTGTTGCATAGGTACACACATGGCAGTGTGATTTCTGCCTTCCTCCCCTTCACCTATAAATGACATTTCTCCCCATGCTATCTCTCCCCACCTCCCCACCCCCACGTCCCTTCCCCATTTTCCCCCAATAACTTTTTTTTGATGGGATCTCACTCTGTTGCTCAGGCTGGAGTGCAGTGGTGTGATCTCGGCTCACTGCAACCTTCACCTCGTGGGTTCAAGCAATTCTCCTGTTTTAGCCTCCCAAATAGCTGGGATTACAGGTGAGTACCATCAAACCTGGCTAATTTTTGTATTTTTAGAAGAGACAGGGTTTCACCGTGTTGGCCAGGCTGGTCTCAAACTCCTGACCTCAAGTAAGTGGCCAGCCTCAGCTTCCCAAAGTTCTGAGCTGCGCTCGGCCCAAATAACGGTTTTACCTGAACTTACCCTTGCTCTGTTCTCAGTCTCATCTTACCTGACTTGAATTCTGGATTTGGAACTTAGAGTTGCTTGCCCAGGATATAAATCCTGTAGTTTACTAGTTGTCTGTAATTTGCTTGGCTGCCTCACTGTCTTTTTTTTTTTTGGCTGTCCTTTGTTCTCCTTCGAACTAATTTATTTATTTGCCTGAGCAAATCCTGTCTTCAGACACTTGGTTTATATCCCCTTACCCACCACTCTACTCTTAAGGGAAGATGATGTGGGCATAGTACATTAAAATGCAAAGTAGAGCATTTCCATTTACACATGCAATATAATTCAATTTATCCCCTCCATGGAGGGGAAAGACAAGACTAAAGAGTATAGAAAACTAAAGACATGAGAACCATCACTAAAGCCAAGACTTTGCAATATGTATGAGAGATAGTGCTATCTTGCATATCAATTATAAACCTAGGCCTTGTGATATGTTATTAATCCTTCAGTATATTGATTATAAATGTAGATGAGATGTAAACATACTGTGTTATGACTGCCTTCCTCTAGTCAGAGATTTTACCATTCTCCACCAGTGCAGCAACAGTTCCTGTTTTGTTCATCTCTATTTCCTTAGCTCTAGCATAACATGTAAAACATCATATACTTTATAAATATTTATTGAACAAATAAACAAATGCAATAATTAATTAATTAATAATTAATTAATGTAAGGACTGAGCATGGGGAATCTAAACTAAACACGTGCATTTGTGGAAGGTGTCAACTTGTTTTTCAAAGTCATGAAGAATGAAGAGAACTTCAAAAAGAGTTGCCATTCTTGCTGACATCTTGAATTGATAGGTGGTGGCAGGGGTTAGAACAGCCTCTGGACATTACCTTAGATTCTTTTCAATATTATAAAGCCTAACAAAAACAGTAAATACAATTTTGAAGAAGAAAGATAAGTACCACCCATAATCTGAACCATAGTTTTTCTTTGTGCATAATCTCTTCCAAGTGTAGAGAGAATTTTTTTACAAAATAGAGAACTGAAGAAAGTCTACAAGCTTTCAGTGATGCCACTATTATCACCATCTTCAAAGAGGAAGCTGAAAATGTAAATAGCTCTGCTTTAATATATCTTTATGATACTTATTTCTGATAAGAACCCAGCCACAAAGAGTTCTATGTTGACCACTAAATGATATCTAGATTTGGTTTTACTGTTTGCTAAGGCATTTAACATACTTTATTTTGCATTTAACAATGGTTTGTGAAAGCATCAGTATTTCTCTAGAGCATCTGTGTGTTTCAGAAAAAAAATTTACAAAATAAATGTCTTTCCTTAATTTCTAGGACATGATCCTTCACTAGTTTTACCCTCACATCTCTGGCAATTTCCTTTTACTTTTTCAAAACCCTTCACATCTTCACATTCCCCAAATATTGTTTCTGTTCTATGACCTCTCTTTCTTTTATTCAGTGCATTCCTTCAGAGGATCTTGTTCTTGTTCATTCATTTACATTTCATTACTCTCTTAATATTGACAAAGTCCCTGGTTGATCAATTTAGCTCCTATCTGTATCATGAATCTTGGACACAGATATTTGACTGAACATCCCCACTTGGATGTCTCATAATCATCTCAAGTCATCATAACCAGAACCAGATTTACCTTTACTGCTGTATCTTCAGATCCTCTTATGTTTCAAGTCTCAATGATTGCTTTGATCATGATCTAATCACTCAAGCCAGAAACCTCGGCATTAACTTTGATAAAACCATTGACCTCAGTCATCCATCAGCAACAGTATCCTGTCAATTTTCCTTGTAAGTAATTCTCAAACTTATTCTAGGAGCCTCTGTGTTTCAGCTCTGAATGCACATACTCATATAGTCTGCCAATAATTGCCTACTGCTTTGTAGATCCACTTCAATCATTTTCTAAGAACTTGCTCAGGAAGAGTCACTCTACAAGGTTGCCCTGCAAGAAGACATATTGTTAGGGTCTCATTGCCATGTTTTACTAGATGATACCCTGTAACTGAAGATATAAAATATATTCAGGATGGTTCATTTACATTTAAAATTATAATTATTTTCCATCAACTTGTTAACTTTTTGTACATCAGCATATTTGGTATTATATAAGCATCTCTT